GAGCTAATGCTAGAATAGCATCCCTTGCTAGCTAATGTTAGACTAGCCTACGTATGCTAACCCAGTGTCCCCGACCCTTTTTGCGCCACGGATGTTGTGGTTTTACATCTGACAATATTTCACGGACCGGGGGCTGTACGGGCGGCGGTGTACGGGCGGAGAGGTACGGGCGGCGGCGGTGTACGGGCGGAGAGGTGCGGGCGGAGAGGTACGGGCGGTACGGCGGAGAGGTACGGGCGGCGGCGGTGTACGGGCGGAGAGGTACGGCGGCGGCGGTGTACGGGCGGAGAGGTGTACGGGCGGGGGCGGCGGACGGGCGGAGAGGTGCGGTGCGAGGCAGAAGTAATGTATTCTTAGTTATTTAGGGGATTGGGGACACTGTACAAACCAATTTGCATGTGTTTTCTAAACTAATACCGGAGCAAGGCTAGCTAACCAATCGCCATCCTCGATTGGGAAAACGTTTGATGGAAGACGATGTTAGATTCTGCCAGCTACTTTTCCACTTTATTCACATATATGACATTTCATTGGGCCGTAAAAAATACTATAATTAGTTGTAATGAGAGAATAAATTAGAGATTATTAGCCAAGCTTCGCGTCCAGACTTCAGTGCTTTGCTAACATACACGTGTATGTTAGCAATGGTAATTGGTTCACATTACAAGAAGCTAAACTGGAAGCAGAGACCGACTCTGCTATATGGATAACTGCAAACGATGTTTGCCACATAAGCCTTTCAGAAATTTTTGTGTGAAATTTCTTATTGTAACATGAACCAATGGACAATGGTAACAACGTGTATGTCAGAATTCATCGTTGCCTCTTCTATCAGACTTGTAGTAAGGTCAAGCTTTTTGCAGAGTTTTATCTTATTTTGCAATTACGAGATGTATTGAATTAACTTTTTAACATAAATTTGAGAGTCCCAGTCTTGACGTTCTTCTGAAGCACTCCATGTTGTGTGTCACTATCAAGGGTTGCACTTGTCCATTGCCCTGTCTCTATCCTGAGTATATGTGTGATAGGTAGTTAGCCAAGAAATCTAGTAGTTTTCATCATTGTGGTATGCATTCTTATTTGGGCATGTACTACTATTCTCATATTTCTTTATTAAGATGTTTTCAACAGCTTTAGTGTAATAAGTATATGTACTACCTCTGAGAGGTAGTATGGTTTCTTTTTTATCACAGTGTTTAACATGTGACTTTTTTCAGGTAAAAGTTCTGACAATGTTGATATATGGCATGTTTGATATATTGGTAGCATAATGATTAGGGCATAGATCTTTACCTAGCCTTGTGTTGCTTACGTGTGTGTATGCACGTTTGTGCTTGTAGTAATGCAAGAGATTTAAGTTCAAATCCTGGAATTATCAGTGAAAGTATTGTTTCTATGTTTTAGATTCAGGCTAGAGTTCTAAAGGACTTAAATTGATAAATAGTGAATTTCCCCATTTAATCTGTTTTCTACAGGTAAAATGGCGAGAAGGAGGGTAACCCCTCAGAGTGTAGCAGAGCAACATGTCATCAGTGGCACAGACCAGACTGCCATGTTGGATGTTAAATACATAAACCCCACTAAAGGTAAGTGTCTCTGCAATCAGTGTTAATTGGTACTTTGTACTGAAGATATCTGCTGAGGATAGTTATATTACATGTGTCTTAGGTGAAATGAGGGTTCTTTTTGCAGCTTCACCATGTTGCTAACATGGGCAATACATTTTTTACTAACTCTTACTTCTGTGAACAGGCAGGGGTGTATTTGCCCTGTTGCCTTTTCAAAAAAGGGATTTTGTGGTCGAATATAGAGGACAACTTATTGACCTTGAGGAATCAGAGAGGAGGAGGAGGATATATAATGCAAAATGCTTGGGCTTCATGTTCGACTTCATGTGGCATGGAAAGAAATGGTGGTAAGCATTTACTGTATGGTGGGTGTTAAAGGGAAACTTTAGTGTAAAACGAAAATTGGCATGTTTCTTCAAGCTGTTTTTTATGGTTTAAAAAATAATGCTATGCCCATAGCCCTTTTATGATAAAATTTGTGACTAAATGCAACAGGCTAGCGCTTTATTTCAGCAAACATACCAACTCGGTTTAACATGCCAGTTTTCATTTTACACCAAAGTTTTTCTTAAATTTCTGGCCATACAAGCTTCCAATAATCAGTAGATGATCTTGGCCTAATGTCCTGCTTGACTTTTGATACTTTATGTCTAATTTGAAGCATTGATGCTGCGATGGAAGACGGCTCATTGGGAAGGCTGGTCAACGATGATCATGTCCATCCTAACTGTAGGATGAAAAGGATATTAGTTGGTAGAAAGCCACACCTCTGCCTGTTCGCTGTTAGAGACATACACAGTGGAGAGGAGATTACTTATGACTACGGAGATGACAATTGGCCATGGAGAGAAAAGGTTTGTCAGTGACATTGTATGTGCCTCTGTATATGTTTTATCAATTATATCATCTTTTGACTGACTGCTGCCCTCGTGGCCAGGTGACCCTTGTATATACCCTTGTAAAGGATATATCTCCATCTATCTATCTATCTATCTAGATATATATAGTATATAATGATACACTGTATACTTCAAATAATGCTGATGTTCTTCAGGGGTGTATTTCTGCTAAAACAGGAGGTTGGGTATAACTTGGAGTGCTTGTGTAATGATTTAGAGCTAAAATGAGTTGCTGACTGGCTGATGGTCTCAACCCAGTAGAAGACACATGCTACTGTATAGCTGTTGTGTAGTATGATGAGTACTACACATACCAATTCTGAATAACTGATTGTAATTCATATCTTAGGCTGATGGAGACTCTCCTGACGAAGCTGTGGAGAACCCAGTGATGCAACAGGAAGAGGTTCTACCCCCCAGCTTGCAGGTAAAAATCTGTTACCAGACTTTGTGTTTAGATACTTGTCAACGTGTTTGTGATTTGAGGCAATGCAAACACACACACTTACTAGGTGTAATGAGGTTCAAGATCATGTCATAGAGTATTCTCAGTTTTGAGGATTAGTGGGCTGGTTTGATCAGATATGGTTCTTGCTTACACTCACACAGTCTCAGGTACAACCTTGTGGGGTATCTGTACCCATCCCCCACTCCAAGTTTATGATAATACAGGTGACACACACACAGTCTCAGGTACAACCTTGTGTGGGCCATGTAAAGGGACAGATTATAAAGGAAAGGATGTTTACTGGTGGAGCCAAACTCTGATAGGGATCCAAGAATTGCTTGTAGCATGTGGGTTGTGCTAACAAGGTTACATTCTGATTGTATACTGACTGCACACTGACGTGGTGGTGCGTTTTTAAACAATTCTTTTAACACAAGACATGCTTAAGATGACTCTGTTTGCATTAGCATCATTTTTGCAGCAACAATCAACAGGTCTGGTAATAAATTCTGGTTGCTTGCATCTATGACAAAGATTCAGTCTGAACATTTCATTTGATCCCTCCCAATTTATTTTTGGTTTGATTTGAAACATGCAGTCTTATAATCTAAATTTCTTTGAATGTTTTAGGGTGGCAGTGGAGACTCCTTTGTCAAGGATTTAGAGAATAGTTCCTTTGTATGCAGCTCCAGCATGGTGTTGCAAGACAAAAAGGTTTTTGAAAAAGCCAAGTCCACCTTGGTAACCTACTCAGACTCCAGCGAATCAGCCATCAGTTCCAGCACTAAAGAAGATGTTCCCCCATCCACCATGCAGGTATCTTTGTCCTTTGTAGCAACTTCAGTAATTTCAGCAATAGCGCCCTGTCACTAAGCATGCCCGCATTTCAACCTGTCACTGTCTTGATAGAATAGATTTTGAAGTGCTCATTCACTGTTTCATTGTTTTGTTTTGTTTTTTACAGCAAGATATTTTGCGTTTTAAAATACATGAAAGTGAAATGGCTTGTTTAGGTTTAGGCAGCACAGCACAAATGCCAATCCACTTTCAATCAAATCCACTTTTATTTATATAGAACATTTCCTACTTTGAGCACTCATAGCTGAATCAAGCTATGCACGTCCATGTAATTATAAATCTACTGTGGTAAAAACAATTTGGGTCAAGGGGAGTCATGACATTGTAATTACATATGTGAATTCTGCCTGTTCTTTAGACTATTTTTGGTCATTTGAAATGGCATTGTTTTGACATAGGAGTGGATGGACTAGGGATGGGCATGATTAGTTGATTAATCGATAATTGATCGTTAAGAATTTCATCGATTACGTTAATTTTAATCGACAAACCGAATGTAGGTTGCTGTGCGTAGCGTAGAGTGACCAAACAGGGTCAGTACGTGTAGCTCTCGGCACTCAGAAGGAGCGAAACACAAACAGTCGGTCAGTCTGCAGCGTACTGAAGTGCAAATATGAATGATGCGCAACGATGACTTGTACAAGAAAGTCCACGCTTTCCGTTCGGGACAAGTGTGAGTTCATGTGCACAGTGTATAAAGCGGCACATATGTTTCGGTGGGAAAAAGCTTTGCCAGGTGAGAGTTGCACAATGTGGATGACGAGTCCCGACCTCCCGCCCCTCGTACGGTGTCCTGGTTTTGACAAACACAAATATGATCACACTAACCTGTATTCCGCTGAGTCGTGTCTTTTAATCCGACAGAAATTGACTGCATCAGCGACACAAGAGCTGTAGTTTTATCTTCGCTATATATCGCAAATTAGTGATGCGGTTTTAAGTTTTGTTTTTGTGAGAGTTGTGCAGAACTGAATTAAACACATTATAATTTCAAACGGATTGATGTGGCTCTAGAGTCGTTACGGTTTATATGTCGTAAAGTTGAATTTATTTATGCAGATTAGTGCAGATATTAATAATAATGATGATAATTTTAATATAAAAACGTTAATGATTAATCGATAATCGATCGTTAATTCTTCCGACGATCGATAAAGAAAATTTCACCGAATGCCCGTCCCTAGGATGGACACTTTCACATTCCATTCTTCTATGATGGCCATGTTAAAAAGTGACAGGCCTCTACTGTATCCATTCCACTTTTGATTGTTGTAGCTTCCACCTTGCCTGGTCATCCACCCCATCCTGCATCATCAAAATTTGATTCCGGCAGAGGGCCTATGCCCATAGGGTCTCATTTACAGAACCTTATTTTCTAAGTTTTCCTCACGGTCCAATCAAATGACTGGATTTAAAAAAAAAATTGACCTACAGCTAGCAAGACACTGACCGATGTGACCGTTAGGATGCTGATTTAGGTTGATTGGATTTGAAAACAGTCATTTGATTTGATATTTTCTGACAAATTTGAATCATGTTTTAAGACTTGTATTTGTTTTCACTGGGGTTACTATTGGGTGAATGCTCACCATTTTCATTATACTGAGAAACGGATATTAGTGTTGGCAATTGTTTGTATTGTTGATCAATTTAGTTAATCATAAGCAAGCACACTTGCAAGTTTGAGCATGGGATTGTACAGTATATAGACTAAATATCTGCTTTTGCTGTTTGCACTGTAATACCCTGATAACATGTAGACCATTGCCAGTTCTGGTCCTAGAGGGCTACTCATCTTGAGGCTCTCTCCAGTCCTAACCTAGCACATCTCATTCATCTAATCAGCTGCTTGTCAGGTCCTAAATTACCTAAATATACATGTGTATTAGGTGACATTTTGAAAGCCTGCACATACATTAGTTTTCCAGGACCTGTGTCGAAGACCTCCGATCTAGATTCAGTCGGAATAAAATTTCATCTTAATTATTAATCTAAGCAATACAGATCAGTAGCTATTAGTTACAATATATAATGTATTGTTTGTTTAAACTGTTTTCATTTGTGTTTATTAAAGAGCAAAGAGAAGATTCCTTTTGGGCTTGATCTTTCTGACTCCAGTATGAAACATGGAGATGATGATGCTCGACAAATGATTGTGCCAAGGCTTAGGAGGACCAAAAGCATCTTTGTAAGTCCCACCAACAAATGTGTCATTTCCATGTACTATAGATGTCTTCATTGTGTTTAGTTGAGTGGTCAAATGATTTGTAAAGTTATGACTATATGTGACGGGTTGTATGCGTACCCTCCCTTGAACAGGAGGCAGACCTCTGGTGGGCAGAACCAGCCAGTTTGCATTCATCAAGTGAGGCGCGGGTGTTATCCTACTGGGAAAACACCTGTTAACCATTTGCTACCTGTTTATTTGCGCTTGTAAGCTCTCGGTTCCGCCACTTAGCCTCTTTACATGAACAAATTGTGTCCAGTGAAGTTGGCTTTGGATCTGCCACCTCCCTGTTCTTATATCTAGGAGGTGGTGGACCCAAAGCCAATTCCACTGGAAACAAACCCAGGCCTTAGGTTGGGACAACCTACATAGATGCATTTGGTGACCATTTCCATCATCCTTAAGTTGCGTTAGCTCCTTGCATGCGCTTTGAATGACCCGATTGTGAATGCCCATTGTTGCAAATGGTGCTGTGAAGCGTGTATTGTCAGGACATCGTCTTCTCGAGACAATGCTAAAACGCCTGTGTAGAGATCATTACGTTCTCGCTATGGAACCTTTTACAAATCTTGGTAACAGTTGCATAACACAGGCCTTAAGTGAGTCTAGTCAGGTCATTAGTCCTCTGCTGTGTGTTAAGGTAACGGCACGTTGGTGTCTGTGGGTACCGACTGTTGGTACGTTAGAGCCGCTCGCTTCTTTCTCCTACTCTGGTGCCCAGGTGCCTTTGTCTCCCCACTGCCGGACGTACTGCTGATGTGGCGCTGATGCTCTGAGCCTCTCCAATTACGAGGCCAAGTTATGTTCTGCAAAATGATCGCTCAGCTTGGAGTAACCATCCACCCATAACGTGCTGCATATTGTATCATACTGCAGAACTATTGAACAGCGCTTTCTGGCTGGTCCCACCAACAGCAGGCTGACTTCTATTAAAGAAACAGTACATGTACTACTTGTCATGATAAGCAGAATGCTGACTCTTTAATAGTTTGTTAGAATGAGGAGTGTATTTGTGTTGTGTATTTTACCTGTTGTTATTCTTGAAGATGAAAGAGAACATTCCTGATGGATCTGAGGAGCTTTTTGACACCAGTCCTGATAGTGGAGAAGAATATGTTCCAGTTTCAAGTGGAGAAAGTACAGATGAAAGCACGATCTGTGAAACATTACCACCATCCTTGTCAGAGGAGACTCCGAAAAGCAAAAGCCGTGCAACTCCATGTCAAAGCAGTAGCAGAAGCAGTGCAACAAAAGTCTTTACTCCTGACTCCACATGTTCTCCGAGCAGGGGATGTGGAGAAAGTACCTCAGTATCCATTCCTGGTGTCAGAAAGAAAGAAGATGGATCTCGGATGTATAACAAGAAACAGTTCTGTCTTTATTGTGGGTCTTCTTTCCTGAAAATCTCAACACATTTGGAGCGTAAACACAACAAGGAGGTGGAGGTAGCAAAAGCACTGAGTTTCCCAAAGGGCTCAAAACAAAGACGAGTGCACTTAGAATCTCTTCGAAACAAAGGTAACTTTGCACATAATACCGAAGTTTTGAGAACAGGCAAAGGAAAATTGGTTGCACGCAAGCAGCCAAGAGAAAATTCCCAAGCCAAAGACTACATGCACTGTGTGTACTGCCAAGGTTTGTTCAGAAAACGTGCAATGTGGAGACATGTGCAAATCTGCCATTTGAAACCTGACATTGTTAATCCCAAACCGGGAAAAACTAGAGTCCAAGCCCTCTGTGCCTTTGCAGAGCCCACACCTGCTGGAATTTCTGAAGAGCTATGGAAACTGGTGAACAACATGAACCAGGATGTTGTTGCACATGCGGTCAAAAGTGACTGGTGCATCATGGAGTTGGGAAAGCACCTATACAACAAGCATGGCTCTGACTTAGACAAGCACGAATATATCCGTCAAAAACTGAGGGAGCTTGGTCGACTTCGAGTACATGGTGGTGAGGTCACAAACATGAAGACGATCAGAGAATATCTCATACCAGCAAACTTCATGCAGACAGTCAATGCAGTGAAACACACAGCACAAAGCAATAAAAGCAATGCTAAATCACTTCCCTTGAAACTTGGACACAGCCTCAAGAAGATGTCTATGCTCCTGGAGAGTGATGCAATTATTAAAGGAGACAAGGATGCCACAGAAGCAGCCCGCTCCTTTCGAAACATCTATGATGCGAAATGGCACGAGCTTGTGTCAGCCACATCTTTGAAGAGCCTCAGCGAGTCCAAGTGGAACGCACCTCAGCTGCTACCTTTCACAGCAGATGTGCAGAAGTTACACAATTACCTGGATGAGAAGCAAAAGCAGTACCAGCATGATTTGGAATCTGAGGCATCATCGCAGAACTGGGCCAGCTTGGCTAAGGTGACTCTGGCCCAGGTTATCCTGTTCAACCGGCGTAGAGAAGGGGAAGTGTCCAAAATGTCCCTGTCTGCATTCACATCAAGAGACAGATCAGCACCTCACGAAGACGTCAACCTTGCTCTCTCTGAGCTCGAGAAAAAGCTCTGCCATCATTTCACCAGGATAGAAATGAGAGGAAAGAGAGGTCGGAAAGTTGCTGTCCTCCTAAGCCCAGCGATGCAGGAAGCACTTGATGTACTACATCAAAAGAGAAATGAGTGTGGTGTCCTCAAAGAAAACGCATATGTGTTTGCCAGACCAGGAGCGATGTCGCACTACAGAGGGTCAGACTGCATCCGGCAGTTTGTCCAAAGCTGTGGTGTCAAGAATCCTCTCTCACTCACCTCAACAAGACTGAGGAAGCAAATGGCTACCTTATCTAAAGTATTAAACCTTCAGGAAACAGAGCTTGACCAGCTGGCGGATTTCATGGGTCATGACATCAGAGTGCATCGGCAGTTTTATCGGTTACCGGAGGGCACCCTTCAACTTGTCAAGATCAGTAAAATCCTGATGGCCATGGAGCAGGGACGCCTTGCGGAGTTCCAAGGCAAGAGCCTTGAGCAGATCACCATTGATCCAAATGGTATGTAGTTTCTCCAAAAATGTTCATTTTGTCTTCTTATGTACTCTTAACTTCTTGGGTTCTTTTGAAGACATACAGTAAAGTGTATTTACCTTGTTGACACGTTTCTGCTGCTGCATCTTCAGAACTGTCCCTGGTGTTGGTGGTGACGTGTCATATATCAGCTGCTATTACTTCCTGTAGATGTGGTCAGCCTGATGGACCTACAGGTCACTTGCTACCCGGTGTCTCAGCAACAGCTGATATATGGCACATCAGCACGAACATCGGGGACAAATCTGAAGATGCTTGCAGCTTACAGCTGAAACTTGTCAACAAAGTAAAGACACTTTACTGTATTGTCTTTAAAAAGAACCTAAGGAGTTAAGGGTATGTAGTTTCTGCTTAAAGGTTGTATAGAGGATTTTCCAAGGAACGAGAAATCCAGCGACTGTTTGTCCTTTTTCAAATGTTGCGCATGCGTGAAACCACCCCCCCTCCCCTACAGCTCCCTACGTAGAAACGCCTTCTCCCGCCTCCTCACTACGCCAGAAACAGGTTTGTTTACAGCCGGTGCGCTGCACATGACTTGTAAACAACTAACTACAGTGTTGGTTAGGCAAGGCGGAGAAGTGAGGAGCAGAGAGAAGAGCGGAGCAGGGAGAGAGGAGAGAGGAGAGAGGAGAGGGGAGCGGTGCGCGGAGATTCCGTGCCCGTAGAAGTGAGGAGAAGGGGAAGAGCGGAACGGGCAGCGGGGACAGGAGTAGGAAAGGGGAGCAGAGAAGGTTGCGCGGAGATTCAGTGCGAATGAACTAGCTACAACACGCAGCAGCAAGCGGACTCTTTCTTTGCCTTGAAAATTACGTTTTCAGACATAGGATATCGCTTTCGTGTCCTGAAAAACGTTTGACTAGCTCTTGGAAATAAAGTACGTTTTCATAATAAGCAGAAGTTACCTGTCCAGGAGTAATTTGGCGACCAATGCGTCAGTCTTTAGACCCTGCGTCTGCTTCAGTCGCGCCATCGCTGGAATGAATCTACAAGAATCACCTTAGTTTGGCTTCGCTGCTTTTCCCCTTGTCTTCTTCTTTCAGCGACCTCAAAAACGGACTTTCTTTTGCGGCTAACTGCTCCTGGATTCTTGTCTGCCATTGCAACAAACTTTGTGCTAACTGCGAGGAAGATATAGGTCAAAAAAAGCCGCTAAGAACTGTTGCGTTGGTGGAGTAAACAGCGTCTGTGCGTCTTGCGTCTGTGGACTGCGTGACAGGCGTACGTAAACCACGTACCGGCGGCGCGCAGGCAGGTCAGTTACGCTAGAAACGTAGGGAGTTTGATTGATAGCCTGTCAGCTAACAGATAACGAGGCAATGTCGTTATCTATTGGCAAATGTTTAGCTGGCCCCACCACGTCCAGAGTTGATGAATTTTTATTCTCTTTTTTTTGGTCATCATAATTACAAGGCTACTGCACCTCTATAATGCTATCATTGACAACTTGAAACAAAAAAAACAAAAAAAAAATCCTCCATACAACCTTTAAGTCAAGTGTTGTGATTTTGACCTTTAAATGGGCACAACATCATAACACTTAATGACTACATTGTACTGTATTTTTATACCACCTATTCAGAAACAATCCAGTTGGACAAGCATCCTGAGTCCGAAGATGAACTTGCAGAGGTGGCGTGTGAACAGGATATGGAAGGTATGTGCTTTGATGTTACTTAGTCATGTAACCCAAGATATTCGTGTACTATGTATCCAAAACTTTGTCCCTAATCAGGGTGTCAGTAGGTCCTTTTAAAAAGCTGAAATGTAATCATAATAAAAACCCCTTTTACTTGCATGCAATCAAAATATCTCTTAAAGTTTAAAAAGACAGCAGCACAGGTCCAAACATTTCCATCACAGGTAGAGAAACAGCAGACACAATATAATCATACTGTAATTCTAGCACACCCTATATTTATATACACTTGCAACATCAGGCCAAAGTTAATGAATGTTGGGCAGCTGTGGCCTACTGGTTAGGAAGTTGGTCTTGGGATTAGAGGGTTGCTGGTTCGAGTCCTGCCCCTACCCATGGTTAAAATGCCCTTGAGCAAGGCATATAACCTCACACTGCTCCAGGGACTGTAACTACAACCATGTAAATATCTGTAAATCTCTCTGGATAAGAGCATCAGCTAAGTCTAATGTAATAGTGTAATGCTTTAAAACAAACATCTTGATACATCTTCAACACCAACACAACTCTCAAATCAGATTAAACAGATGGCTGCTGTAGCTATATAGAGTAGATAGAAAGATGTCAGTCTGTGATTCTCATGTTGGCTGGGATTCTACATGAATTTTGACGTAACACTTGTAATGTTCATCTTGTCATTCAGTAGTTCCTGACATGAGTCAGCCTCAAAAGCGAAAATGGAGTGACGATTCCGATGGAGATGATATGCCTCTCCAGAAGACAAAGTCAAAGACCGGTAAGGATATGGTATGTGTACCAAAGACATTACATTTGCAGAGTGACATAAAAGTACTGAATAGTGAATCCAATATACTTGCAGTGACAAGTGACAGAAGGGGGAGGGTCCCAATCTGAGAATGGAAAGGAGGCACCCCCTCCTAGATCAAGCAGGGTGTGTTAAGGAGTTGCCCAGAAGAACAGCAGTAAAGATTGTGCATAGTTGTAGTTCAGATAGAGTACTTCCTAGAGGAAGTACACACATGGGTTTCCTGTTCAATAGGGTTGGGCCGATGGGCGATACCATTGTCCATCATAATTAATGGCTGACATCACGTTGGGAAGCCACCATCGTGATGCCACGCGCCCACCTTGCCCGATTCGCTCTATACACAGCCTACAGTTAGCACTGTAGTAAAATTTTGCAGAGACTTCCATAGAAATGATGCTCATAAAGCCATTTACTTTATATAATACAGAAGTTTCATAGAACCTCAGGTTATCTGGTGTTTGCAAAACATTGTAGGTTGCTCCCAAGAGAAACTTTAGCCTACTAGATTCTATACTCCACAATTTCCTCCAAGTAATCTGTTTTGTCTGTACTTGCTCCCAAGTTGACCACTAACCCTGCTTTGCTAGTGCCACAGCTTTTACCTGTCTGCTAGCCTCTTCTTGCCTGCAGACCTGCTCTACAACTAACCTCCTTTCCTCCTTCTGATCCTCCTTTCTCCAAGTTGGCTTCCCTGGTGTACGCCCCATGCCTTCTCGCCTAAACTGGATATTCCCAGCAGTCTCTCCATGCCTAAGGGCTGCCTCTGCCTCTTACACTGCTATCTTTGGTTTCCACTTTTGCCCCTTCGGGGGTTAGGGGCTAGCTGACTATCCTGTCCTTACTCCCTGATAACAATAGCTCTGTCCTGACATTAGCATACTTGAATTCTTCTACCAGGCTATTTTTTGGCAGCTGAAGTATGTCCTTTCCATACAGAGCTACACTGCTTAGACACTGTGGAACACCTAACTACTTTTTGACATGTGCATTAACCACCCTTTCAAGCTTCTCCACTTTTAATAATGGCACTTCATACACTGACAGGCCACACAAAACAATAGTTAAGCTATTCAGTTTATTATATATTGAGTTTAGTGAACTCTACCGAGAACTGCAGTTTCTAAAACTCACATTACTGTGGAATTTCAAATAGTGAACATGTGTATGACAGTCCTGACCGTGTATTGTGATTGGCCAAGAGGCATTTGAAACTGTGGGTATTTGTGATGAACTATGTTGTATATTGCGCTTTATTTCAGCCACACTTCACAATTGCTGTGCTAAACTAATTTGTCATTCTATTTGTTATTTCTTTTTTAGCTCGCAAGCCACAGAAGAGGCGGCCCTGGGAAAAAGAAGAGATGAATGCAGTTGAAAGGCACATGATCAGTTTCATTCACTCCTGTCGTGTTCCAGGGAAGGATGATTGTGACAGGTGCCTTAAATCAGAGCCAGAAGCGCTGAAAAATAGAGATTGGAAGGCGATCAAATTTTATATCAAAAATAGAATTACAGCGCTAAAGAGGAAAGCATAAAGTTTAACATTTCTTTTTAGTGTGTCATTGTTTTTGACACATGTGAAGGTGTGCCATATGTTAGTTCAGTCAGTCAGATGGTACATAGGTTTTTGGAACTTAATAAAGAGCTTGTTTAATGTTCAGGTGATATTTTTCTTCTTCATGTGTAAACAGAAAATCTTTGCACACATTGATCCAAGCAAAAAAGTTTGTGTTTAATTCTTTCCAAGCTTTGGGTCAAAAGATCATCAGGGCATTGCACACTACTTACAAAGCAGTTCATTTTATACCTGGAGGTCTATCAGTGTAATCAGACAATGGCAGACATCTATCTGGGATTACTCAAGAACAGCTGGAAGTTGTGGTTCCGTAGACATGTTTGTAGTTTTTTGGGGTTTTTTTTTGGTACAGATGTCAATTCATATGGCTCACAATGGGGTGAAGTTAAATTAACAATGTAGACCTCCAGTGTCCAGACAGAATAGAAGGAACCAAAAAACAAAAACAAAACCAGAAAGCAGTGGTGGCCTGGCGGTTAAGGTATCAGACTTGTGACCGCAGGATTGCAAGTTTGAATGCAGCAACTGCCAGTTGTGCCACTAAGGTACCCTGAGCATGGTACTGTTCCCACACACTGGTCCCTGGGCGCTGTTGTCATGGCTGCCCCCTGCTCACATATGTGACTGGTAAAATGCAGTGCAAATTTTGTTGCGTGCTGTGCTGGGTAAACACAAGGCCATTGGGTGCTGTTTGTTCTGTTTGCTTTAAACAAAGGGAAAAAAAAAAATTGTCCAAAAAATGTTAAATCCATCCAACCAGGAGTAGAGACATGCATAGACATCACACGTACTGTCATCATGAAACACAGTTATCCAATCTATCTGTAAAACACATATTCTAATATGTAACCCGTGTCAATTAGCCCACTTCCGGTTACAACTTTATTGTGGCGGGATAACTTCCTTTAACTTCCTGCGTCACTTGTCACGCATCCTCCTGTTGCTGCACTGCTCCGGTGCTACTCCCGCTTTGACTGGATTGTTTGAATGAAAACTATTAAAACTGCCTATCTAACGAAGACTTATTCACCCGTCAATCCTACTACACTACACATACATGATCCAAAATGACTTTCACCTAATTCTACTTTAATGACCATATCGTCTACCCCACATCAGTCTATATTAGGGCCGTAGTCTGTGGGCCAGGTGTCTGTCCGTTGATCATCACACCCGATAGGGGTCCCATCTAGTAATGTCAGAACAGATGTTCCTCAGAAGAATGGTATACCTGAGCAGTGTGATTAGATGTTCCTCAGAAGAATAGTAATACCTGACACATCCCCACATGGGACGGCTCAGTCAGGTCTGAACTCATGTATTGAATTTTTTAATTTCAAGTGATATTCATGCTGCTGAAGTGCATCTGGTCATGCCTGATTTTTTTCAGAGGTGTATGATGTTTAGAATGGGTGGCACCCACAAGGTCGGTTCCTGTCAGGTCGTCTCACAATGTACTAAAAACAAGTATGTGTGTGTGTGTGTGTGTGTGTGTAAATGTGTGTAAAAGTGTGTGTGTGTGTGTGTGTAAATGTGTGTGTGTAAGTGTGTGTGTGTGTGTGTAAGTGTGTGTGTGTGTGTGTGTGTGTGTGTGTGTGTGTAAATGTGTGTAAAAATGTGTAAGTGTGTGTGTGTGTGTGTGTGTAAATGTGTGTAAAAGTGTGTGTGTGTGTGTGTGTGTGTGTGTGTAAATGTGTGTGTGTAAATGTGTGTGTAAGTGTGTGTGTGTGTAAATGTGTATAAAAGTGTGTGTGTAAGTGTGTGTGTGTGCATGTGTGTGTGTGTAAACGTGTGTAAAAGTGTGTGTGTGTGTGTGTGTGTGTGTGTGTGTGTGTGTGTGTGTGTAAGTGTGAATAAAAGAATAAAAATAAATTAGTCAAATGTTAAATCGGCTAAAATTTTAAACAATGTAAGTTTATCTGTAAAAGGTAAATTAACAAATATTATAATTAAAATATATTAATTAAAATGCAAATAGATTCAATGACTAATGAAAATGTAAAATGTACATTTCATTTCATTATTCTATATATTTGTTTACTTTAAAGGTTTTCTGCTGCTGCTGTTGAAGAAAATGAAACATTTTAATAAAAGTCTTGAAGTCTGTTTTATTGTTTTTTTCAAGTTGGACCTGCATTGCTCATTTCAAGACTTCAATTAAATCAAATGATTAATTATCAATTAATTGTCCCGCCTGGCCTTGCACAGAGCCGGGTACAACCTCTGGAACGCTCTGGTGTATGCAGTCAGGTCTGAGCTCCCTGCACAAAAACAACAACAACACAAGAGTCACTTCAAAGAATCATTCTATGGAAACATATTTGAGGAGACAGAGACGTGTTCTGTGTTCAGACCCGCTGTTCTGTCACGGACCGACTGGGACCAGAAAAAACACCCCTGGACTTTTCCCCCATGAGTCGCCCCATCGGTGGATTCAGTATTTAAATGGAGATTTGCTCCTTCTGGACTTCAGCGACACCAAAACCGTCCATAAAAGAACAGAGATTGTGACGGACAGTGAAAGACGAGGAAGGAAAATGATGACTAAAAATATATTTAAAAATGGGGAAAAAAAGCCTTTAAAATTATGATTTGAGTTTGTAAAAAATGACAAAAAATTATGAGAGAAAATGATCCTGGAGGAAAGAATATCAGTTTAAGTATTGGGACTAAAAATGTATTTAAAAATGGGAATAAAATGCCTTTAAAATTATGATTTGAATTTGTAAAAAATGACAAAAAATGATTAAAGGAAATGATGCTGGCTGGCCTGGGAACGCCTCGGGGTCCCCCCGGAGGAGCTGGAGGACGTGTCTGGGGTGAAGGAAGTCTGGGAGTCCCTGCTTAGACTGCTGCCCCCGCGACCCGGCCCCGGATAAGCAGACGAAAATGGATGGATGGATGATGGTGAAAATAATATGGGTTTAAGTATTGGGACATTCTTTTTTTTTTTTTTTTTTTTAAATGGGAAAGGGGGGGAAAAAAGAGAGAAAAAGAGAGAAAAGGAGTTTCAGTTGTGAACTGGCCGCGGTGTGTGGATGTACGGAGGCCTAGTGGTGTGTTTATGTTGCACTACAACATGACTTTTGTTTAATTTGGTCAGATTTGTGTTGATGTTTGTGGTCGGGGGGAAATGGAGGCTTGTTGTTGTTGTTTTGTATTTGTTGTGGGTGTTGCTTTACGTTTTTGTCTCTGTTTCTTGCTGATTGTTGAAATTGTTAAATGTTGATCGTTGTATTTTTTTCAATGTTATATTCTGTTGTCCTTAAGAAACATTTTTTTTTTTAAAAAGACCCAAATTATTCTAACTGGAACTGATACTGAGTTTGACGACAGCGACACAGAAGAGTTTGCGGGGCAACTTTTCCCTCCGGAGGTCGAGGCCGAGTTGTTCAGAAGTGACACCGAGGATGAAGAATTGAATGGATTTAGTCTCCGTTCAGACTGCGGGGCTTAACGCTCAATTCTGATGTTTTTGCGAGGTCGTTCACATTTCCAGTTAAATGTGACTTGTATGTGACTCCAGTGTGAACATTAAACGGCCCAAAAGTGTCCCACATGTGACACTGGAGACACGACGACGTCAACCACAGCGAGCGTCTCTGTGTTTACAGAAGTTGTCCAAACATGGACGCAGCATCGAGCACCTGGAGATTTTAAAGTTCCTCTCGTACCGGAGCCAGAACATGAACAACTTACTTGTTTTAAGGAGGAGATTGAGAAGGAGAAGGACGAGGTTTTTGGTCGTGGTGTTTTGTGGGACAGTCTGTTGAAAGGAACGTGTGGATGTGGAGACGGAGTCAAGAGTGGTGAGTGGAGATGTGCTTCACTTCAGTGACACGGAGTTCATTAACAATTTTCTCCTACTTCAGCGCAGAATAGTGACGTTTGTGTCTTGTTGATAATGTGTAGGTGGATGAATGTGACCTGACCGTTCACACTGAAGTCACATGTCAAAAGATCAGATACAGGAGCATAGGGGCCAAAAAATCAGATTTGGGTCACTTCAGGTGCAGTGTGAACGTAGAGTTAGTGATTTGGAGTGAGATGGAGAGTTTGTTAAACTTGTTCTGTTCTGTTGTTTATAGTTTATCTGAAGAACAGTCAAATATGTGACGGTAACAGTCTGTTGTTCTCTCTTCTGTTGTTATTGTACAGGAAATGTCGGCTCCTTCTCTCTCATTTTATAAAACAAATTTCCCCCAAAACGTGACACTTATATGTGTTTTTTCTTCGTTACACATGTTTTGTGTGGTGTGACTTCTACTCCAGACACATATAGTGAGTGTGTGGGGTGTGTGATGCTTTACCGGTGAAATTCATCTTCCCGTTGTTGAAGACACAGATCCTGACTTTTTCACAGTGAAAGTAGAGGCCAGGGAACAGCTCCGGCTCATAACTGCACAAATACACAAAAGTACACTTAAATACACACAAATACACACAAATATGTACAAGGTTTACCCATCCTGAACCAGGACCTTGTCCTGGTTCAGTCCTGGTTTAGTCCTGGTTTAGTCCTGCTTTAGTCCTGCTTTAGTCCTGTTTTACACCTGGTTTAGTCCTGGTTTAGTCCTGCTTTAGTCCTGGTTTAGACCTGGTTTAGTCCTGGTTTAGTCCTGCTTTAGTCCTGTTTTAGACCTGCTTTAGTCCTGGTTTAGACCTGGTTTAGTCCTGGTTCAGTCCTGCTTTAGTCCTGGTTCAGTCCTGCTTTAGTCCTGGTTCAGTCCTGGTTCAGTCCTGCTTTAGTCCTGGTTCAGTCCTGGTTCAGTCCTGCTTTAGTCCTGATTTAGACCTGGTTTAGTCCTGGTTCAGACCTGCTTTAGTCCTGGTTCAGTCCTGGTTCAGTCCTGCTTTAGTCCTGATTTAGACCTGGTTTAGTCCTGGTTTAGACCTGCTTTAGTCCTGGTTCAGTCCTGGTTTAGACCAGGTTTAGACCTGGTTCAGCCCTAGTTTAGTCCTACTTTAGTCCTGGTTTAGTCCTGCTTTAGTCCTGGTTCAGTCCTGTTTAGTCCTGGTTCAGTCCTGCTTTAGTCCTGGTTCAGTCCTGGTTCAGTCCTGCTTTAGTCCTGATTTAGACCTGGTTTAGTCCTGGTTCAGACCTGCTTTAGTCCTGGTTCAGTCCTGGTTCAGTCCTGCTTTAGTCCTGATTTAGACCTGGTTTAGTCCTGGTTTAGACCTGCTTTAGTCCTGGTTCAGTCCTGGTTTAGACCAGGTTTAGACCTGGTTCAGCCCTAGTTTAGTCCTACTTTAGTCCTGGTTTAGTCCTGCTTTAGTCCTGGTTCAGTCCTGGTTTAGTCCTGGTTCAGTCCTGGTTCAGTCCTGCTTTAGTCCTGGTTCAGTCCTGGTTCAGTCCTGCTTTAGTCCTGGTTCAGTCCTGGTTCAGTCCTGCTTTAGTCCTGGTTCAGTCCTGCTTTAGTCCTGGTTCAGTCCTGCTTTAGTCCTGCTTTAGTCCTGGTTTAGACCTGGTTTAGTCCTGGTTTAGTCCTGGTTTAGTCCTGGTTCAGTCCTGGTTCAGTCCTGCTTTAGTCCTGGTTCAGTCCTGCTTTAGTCCTGGTTCAGTCCTGCTTTAGTCCTGGTTTAGACCTGGTTCAGTCCTGGTTTAGTCCTGGTTTAGACCTGGTTTAGACCTGGTTATTTCTTATCTCGACAAAAGGAAAGTAAAAGTAAAAGTATAAACCGTCCCAGTCTCACATGAGTCTTTTTCACAGTGAATCTTGAAACTAAATCCGTGTGTTGAGTTTCCGGAGCAGCGGACTGACCTGGAACATCCTCGGAGCTCCTCGTAAAGACGATCCAGTCGGACGGGGAACGTCTGGGAGACCGCCAAGACGTTGTGCACCTTGTACTTGGAGAAGGTGACAGGGAATCCCAGCTTTTGAACGATCCGCGCGAATCTCCGAGCGGCGGTGTGCGCGTCATCCAAACTGCGGAGAAAACCACAACAACTGAGATCTGATTGTACATGCATGTCTACGGACGAATGTTCAGCCGTTACCATGGTTACACTACGCATGCCAAGGCTGGGCACCATTAAGAAGTCACCGATACGATACAAACCTCGATACACAGGACACGATACTTCGATACACAGGCCACGATACTTCGATACACAGGCCACGATACTTCGATACACAGGCCACGATACTTCGATACACAGGTCACGATACGATACACAAGCCACAATACAATACATACTTCGATACAGTTTCGATTCAGTACAATATATTTCAAATTGATTTGCTATGATTCAATAAAAATCGAGTCTAAATTGTGGCTGTGACACTAAAAGTCTTTGTTAAATCACTTCTTCTTGTGCAAAGAGTTTCCTTCCTCTAAACAAGCAACAAAACTGTAGCTCTGAAACAAAATAATTTAGTGAAATAAAGCAAAAAATATTCTTGGTGATATATCAATACATGAGTCCACGATATCGATACTGTATCATCACATTAAACTATGCGATATATTGATATTTTGATATTTTCACACCTCTGATCCACACATGAGCAAACGCTGCCAAAAAGTTGGAAGATTGTGTAAAAATTCAAGAAAAACGACACACAATAAAACTAATCCACTTTGAAAATGTGACTTGTTCCTCCACTTCTGCCCTGGGAGCTCAAACTGACGGGACACAGGAAGCGCGCTCATGTTCACTTTGTGTTTAGAGTGCAGCGGCGGCGGCGGCGGCGGCGGCGGCGTTAGATTTGTCCGTGTGTGTAAAGTCGTGTCGTGAGTTCAGGTCAGACCTGTGTGCTCCGGTGCAGCTCAGGTGTCCTCTTCCTGAGATCATCGCCGTGGATCTGGGAGACCGAATCCTCATGATCACCTGATTAAACTAAACAAGACAAATACACACTGTTTAATAAACCTGGTTTAGACCTGGTTCAGTCCTGGTTTAGACCTGGTTTAGTCCTGGTTCAGTCCTGGTTTAGACCTGGTTTAGTCCTGGTTTAGTCCTGGTTTAGTCCTGGTTTAGTCCTGGTTCAGTCCTGGTTTAGTCCTGGTTTAGTCCTGGTTTAGTCCTGGTTTAGTCCTGGTTTAGTCCTGGTTTAGTCCTGGTTTAGTCCTCGGGTGTTATATTCCACATTCCGTCCGGTCGTTGCGATTTTTCTGAGATTCAGGCGACAGTTGAGTGATGCTGAGCACATCACGTTCCTGAAACACGACACAACACGTCCACACATCAATCTGAGAAGGTAGAAACATCTGAAAAGCTGATTTTTCATGAGATGGGCCCTTTAAAATTCACACTGGAGATCACACACACAAGTCACATTTAACTGGAAATGTGAACGACCTCGCAAAAAATATCAAAAAAATCCAAACTGAGCATTAAGCCCTGCAGTCTGAACGTAGACGTAAAGAGCGGCACGTCAGAACCAGCAGTGCCTCCAGTTGGCATCACGCCCCCAGGGACTGTTGATGACATCAGCCCAGAGCATCAGTACAGTGACTTACGTGATGTTTAGATTGAGCTGCTCGACCGGTGCCTTTTGGGAGCTGGAGGCTTCTGCAAACACAAAACACAAGAGTCATTTAAATACAGCAGTTAGTTTTGTTGTAGTCCTGGTTTAGTCCTGGTTAAGTCCTGGTCTAGACCTGGTTCAGTACCTTCCGCAATCTCTTCTGGTTGCTCTAACTCTTGCTCCTCTTCTCTCCTCTCCTCTGGATTCTGAAAAGAAACAATTTGAGCTTAAAAAGTCAGAAGGAAAAGAGGAGAGGGTCAGAGGGTCAGAGAAGAGGATGCAGAGAATATTCTTAACTTTTCTTCCATTCAGGAGCTATATTTGGTTTAAATTGTTGATCGCTATGACAACAGTCCTAATTTTTGTCTTCCTGATCACTTCAGAGCAATAACATCTCCAAAAGCATTTGGCAGAACCTCCACCAGAAAAGCTACACAATGCAACTTTAGAGCACCAAACGTTAACGTCAAGAAAAAAAATAGTGGCTGATATAAAGAAAGCCAGTTAAAGTCTGAACAGCACTGTGTCCTGTGTGTGAGTGTGTGTGTGGGATGGGAGTTTACCTGCGATGCAGAGGGCAGAGGGGGACTGGCTTTAGGTGAGTTTCTTGCACCGTTGGCCTGTTTTGCCACCTGCAGAGGGCTCTCCGGTCTGGTGTAAGGATTGTCCCGAGGAGAGTAATAGTTTTTTTCTTGAAGAAGGCCCTGGTTTGGCACGAGAGTTCAGTGACCGTGTGGTTCTATCAGTGTCCATACTGATACGGTCTTCCAATATGGCTTCAGTTTGGGCTGACATATGACCCAACACCTTAGCTTCTGGGTTCATTGTCCTGTTGTGCATGGACATCTGTAAAAACACACAAATACATTTGAACTCAACACACTTAAGAGCCAACATCATATTTTGCACTTTAAACTACTACAACACATAGTCATGTTTGATGGTGTTTTATTAACACTGTCTACAATCTGACCTTTGAATACACCATGTGCATTTTGAAATATTTTATCACTCCAAGCTACAATTTGCAAATTAGATGTTATGTCCAGACAGTTAATCTACAATTACTTTTACTTGAGAACTAGTTTTCCCAAATACCTTTTACTCTTACTTGAGTAACTTGTTGAAACACTATGTACATGTACTTAAGTCATATTATATTGAAGTAACAAGTAGCACAATCATAAAACTCATGAGTTGTGTCTAGAAACAACATTATGGACCAAAACATGTAGACAGAGTCGTCCAGTGTGATTTTTTTTTTAAATTTGTGTCTCATTTTCAGAGTTACAGTGACGACTAACAACGACTACTTACCACGTATCCGATGTGAACAGGAGCTGAAGCTTTGTTTGAGCTGGTGACTTGTAAAAGTTGAGGAGAGCTTGAGATATGCTGCTATCTGTGTGCCGTCCTGGACGAAAGTGGACAAACTGAACTTAACTCTACCTTATACACCTCCGATGTTATGTAACATCAAAGATGTACCATGACGACGGAACTCGATATGCTAATGAGACACTTTTTCGATATATTTGAAAGTAAACAATATTGTGACCCTACAACTGTACAGAACTCACTCTTATGTAACAGATAATACTCCCTACAACTGTACAGAACTCACTCTTATGTAACAGATAATACTCCCTACAACTGTACAGAACTCACTCTTATGTAACAGATAATACTCCCTACAACATCACAACTGTTATGAACATGGGCCTCCAGCTCCTCCTACAGCCATATCTGCTTTGATCTGTGTGTGTGTGTTTGTGTGTGTGTGTGTGCGTGTGTGTGTGTGTGTGTGTGTGTGTGTGTGTGTGTGTGTGTGTGTGTGTGTGTGTGTGTGTGTGGTTTTGTGTGTGCGTGTGTGTGTTTGTGTGTGGTTGTGTGTGTGTGCGTGTGTGTGTTTGTGTGTGTGTGCGTGTGCGTGTGTGTGTGTGTGTGTATGTGTTTGTGTTGTGTGTGTTTGTGTGTGTGTGTGTGTGTGTGTGTGTCACATCAGTGTGACTTTAAATCAGCATTAAAAGGCAGTTTTAATTTGAGATGTTTTTTTTTCAGGGGGAATGGAAAGAGTTGTGTTTGTGTAGTGTTCTTATTGCTAATGTTATGTAATGTCATTATTAACATCATTAAGACTTAGCTTCATTTAAACAACAAGATCATCCGGGGGCAGCAGTAGCTCAGTTGGTAGAGCATTTGCCCGCTGATCTGAAGGTTGGTGGTTCGAATCCAGCTCTCAACATAAACATCACAGGCTGAGCGGTCAGATCCACTGACCCACAGGTTGGCTGGTGTGATTCCAGCTCCCACAGATGAATGCTGTCGTTGTGTCCTTGGGCAAGACACTTAACCCACCTTGCCCACAGTGTCTGCGTACACTGGTGTGTGAATGGATGAGTGGTTCCTTGTTTGTTTGAGTGCCTTGAAGGTGGAAAAGCGCTGTAGAAAAATGTGACCATTTACCATCATCCATGTGGGTCATGTACAGGCTGAGAAAACACTTACTGTATGTAAGTTGCACTTTTTTCAGGGTTTGGGTGTTTCCTGTGACTTATACTCCAGTGCAACTTATAGATTAAAATTTTCAGACTGACAGCCGCGAGAGGCTCTACGCTTGTGTGTCAGTATCTACTACTACTATTACTCCTGTACCACTGTCACTTCACTCTACTGTGCATGTCTCCTGTAGAAAAAGCTGTTTCTTGCTGCAAATAGTGAAATATGCAGCCATAAATGCAGCCAAACTTTCCTGAAGTCACTGGATGAATCGACAAGGCCTGAACTTCAGCGACACCGAAACCATCCTGTCAGGATTCAGAAAGGCTGGAATAATTCTAACTGGAACTTATGCTGAGTCAGCTACACAGAAGAGGAAGCGGTGCTTCGTTTACATCATGGATCTATGAAGTAACACAGAGGATGAAGAATTCAGTGATTTTAGTGATTTGGAGTGAGATGGAGAGTTTGGTAAACTTGTTCTGTTGTTTATGCTACAATTATCTGAAGAACTGTTCATATGTTATGTTATTAGCACCTATTCAGTCTGTTGTTCTTTATTCTATTGTTATTACTATAACTTGTCTCTGATTTTATAAAATACATTTCCTCAAAAAGTGTGACTTATAGTCCGGTGTGACTTATATACGTTCCTTTCTTCTTCATTGCACATTTTTTGGCTGATGCGATTTATAGTCCGGAAAATACGAAGTTATATGCACTTTTCCTTTCCCAAGGATCTGACCAAACAAGGCGGGCTTTGACAGGTTCATTGATTTAGAGCATTGTTTCCCAAGACTGAGTCGCGACCCTCAGGTGGGTCGCAAGAGATTTTTCTTGGGTCACCTTGTCATGTTCTGCATGTCGATCTGCAGTATACAGACACATATTCAAATGTTAAGACATGGTTTGCATAATTTCAAATCTTTTTGTAATTATTTTATTGACTATTTTGTTCCAATATTGCTGCTTTAATTGAATGTTCAAAAGAAAAAGAAATGTTCTACATTTAATGTCCAAATAGGCGACTTACGGATCCTTTTATTGCTGCTTCAATGACTGTTTTTTATTGTTTAAAACTTGAGTAACACTAATTGTTCAGAGACACGATCACTCAGTCAACAATAAAATATCCTCATTAATGTTCAATAATGATCAAATCCACCTTTATTTTGTGATTTACCAATAATGTCTATTGACTTGGGTTGTGAAGATTTGTGGCTTTTTAAAAAATGTTTGAAAATGTTTTATTTACTGTCCTTGTGTATCAAAATTAGTTTTTTTCTCAATAAATTATTTATTCTGACAAAATCAGATGATGCTAATTGGCACATGGGTGGCACATGGGCACCAGATTGGCACAGGACGACTGGGCTTTTTCCTACTAAAAACTGTGTAATTTGCTTTATCTGCATCAAATTTTGCACAAGTGATGATCTCATGTTTTTTTTACAGTTCCTTGGTGTATCAGAAGGTATATCCAAAGTTTAAAAGGCAGTTTTCAGTGTTAATTGTATATGGGGTTTTTTCGGGCGTAATTGAAAGAGTTGTGTTTGAGTCTAGTGTATTTATTGTTAATGTTATATAATGTCATTAATTAAGACCAGACAGAAAGCACCGAGTCTTAGCTTCACTTAGACACCAAGATCAACCATGTGGTCCATGTACAGACTGAGAAAACCCTCAAGTTATATGTACTTTTCCTTTCCCGAGGATTTGACCAAACCAGACCTGCAGGATTAACAGGTTAAAGCTGCACTATGTAACTTTTTCATGCTGTACTGTGGAACAGAAGTCCACGGCACAACTTTTAACAGGAACCAAAAAACAAGAACATATCACATCAAACTGCAAATCTGCTTCTTGTTCGATTTAGAATTGATTTTAAGATTGTATTGTTTGTTTTCAAAGCTTTGGATGAACTGGCCCCACAGTACGTCTCATTATTTATTTATTAGTTTTTAGCTTTATGCATTTTAACACTTTTGTTTTTATGACTTACTGTCTGTCATTGTATTGATTTGTCTGTGCAGCACTTTGAAGACTGTCATGTTTATAAATTGGACAGGATCGTACTGTGGAACATACACATCTTCATGGAGACAGTCACAGAGGTCAGATCTGTGGAGAAGCAAGCCTGCTCACTGTAATGTAAATAGCACTTTTCCATCAATGTGTGGTACATTTATACACCAGTCTTGGCTAGAATTTTCAGCCTGGGATCTGACCATAGACTGAAGTGGACTAAGACAGTGTGACGTCACCCAGTGTTTGGCTCCAGTCAAATGGAACTAACTGAGGGTAGCAGTTATAGGGGTGAATTTGTTGAAGAGTTGAAGTTCCACATTAATATACCATATTAATGATAATCATGTAAAGCACATTAATATGAACATAGGCTCACAGCTGCAGTTACAGGCAGATACTTTATTAAACCTGAGGGAAATTCTAGTTTGGTCTTAGGCTACGTTCAGACTGCAGCCTGAAGTGACCCACATCCGATTTTTTGGCTCCTATGTGACCTGTGTCTGATCTTTTAATGACAGTCTGAACCACACAGATCCGATTTTTGCAAATACAACCCAGGACACTTGGATATGTGCTCCTAAAACTGATACATATCTGATCTTTTGACATGTGACTTCAGTCTGAACGGCCAAAGTGCATTCATCAACCTACATGTCATCAACAAGCCACAAACACTACTC